AAACTGTTTTTACGTGTCTAAAAGGCACTTATTTTAAAATATGCTCATTACATCCAGTCTAACTTCTCGTGTTAGAATACCAGCCAACTGGGTACAAATGCACAGCAAAAAGCAACATACACCCTAAATTCTGAGGCCAGGTCCCATTCCCAACAAATTAAAGCTAAGATATTTAAAATGCCTTTGGCTCAAAGCACAAACCTTATCTGTATCCCCTAAGGAGAGAAAGTTGAATGCTATCCAATATACGGAACTCAAAAAATCAGACTCATGTAAGATGATCAAACATGGAAAGACCAATATGCAGGCTCCACGTAACTCATATTCAGTAAATCACAGCAACCGTACTCGCCTGCACTGGGCTCACTCAAGACCAGCCCTAGCCACAACCAGTTTAGGAACTAGAGAGGTTCACAGGGTCCCACGCTCTGCCTCTCAACTGTGACCATGAATAGACTTAGGTTAGGGGAAATCATTGAGTAGCTCCTTCTGAAACTATGACATAATTCTGTGCCAAAGCACACAATTAGCTTCTAGGCTTATTATCTTTTTAATCAGGGTGCAGGTATTTCTGCTTCGTTTTGCTGCTGCTTCTAAATCTCTTGAGTTAGTTTGCGTTTGTGTAATCATGGTGTGCCATATGCATGAGGAGATTTGATCGTTTCTTTTAGAGTTCCTAATTTAGTTCCGTGCAATCTTTAGGGTCAGTAGGCATCAGCTATGCTTGTGCACACTCATGTCTGCTGATTAGGCTGTGCAGTCAGCTTGGGCACTTCTCAAGTCATGTTGACAAAAAAGTCCTGCACACACAGCTCTTAGGATGATGCAAACTAAGCCGCCTTTGAAATTCCATCTCGCCACTCAGAAGGGCCATCACCAGGATAAATAACAAATTCTGACACAATGCGAGGAAGGGGGCACTGTTATACACTGCTTGGGAGTATAAACTAGAGAATCCACATGGGAAAGGATTCTATACTTTTCTCAAAAACACTAGAAATAGAAACTCTCCTACATACTGTACTGTTTAGCCATTCATAAATAGCTGCTCTTCTGATTGCTGCCTACAATTCTGTGTGTACACCCACGCCCACCTGCATAGGCTCTGGAAGAGACTCCGGAATTACTCAAGCCCCTTCAGAGATTCCACCTAAGAATTTGTCATGATTATAATCAGGATCATGTTTCTCTAGAATCTTCTGAGGTTTAAGCTGTGCTGTGATGATCATGACAGGCAATAGGCTTCCCAGCTCTGCAGGGAGGTGAGCACAATAAAATACAAATGCAGAGGTAGGGGTCTGTCCTTAAAGCACAGGGTTCTGAGCCCACAGGCACCTTTTAGACGATTGGACTGTGTCTTTAAATTGTGTAAGCTCTACTGTTTCTTCCCATATGGAAAAAAATATGTTACCAGGCAATAGATTCTATATATGTGCATGGATTAAACATGTTTAATGATTAACTCCATGTCACAAATAATCCTAGCTAAGGCAAGAAAATGAAAGCATTTTCCCTTGGAGTCCTTTAACTCCAAGGGTTTAAATTCTCTACTTGAAATTTCCTGTCCCTTCCATCCCCCTTTTCTCTGTTTTGAATCTCTGTCTTCCTCAATGCTGTCTTGTGAATCTATCCCTGTGTGTCTGTCTGATGTCTCTCTTTATCTCTCTGTCTGTCTGTTTGTCTATCTGTCTGTCCATAACAAAGTGTTTTTCTCTGATTTATTGAGTAACATAGAAAGCATCCTGTGGGGTAAGTATGAGAAATCCTTAACAGACATTAAACCCCCTGGAATTGGAGTTATAGATGGTTGCAAGTCAACACGTGGGTGCTATGATCTGACTTCTGGTGCTATGCAAGAGCATAAAGTATTCTTTGTTATTGATCCATCCCATCCCTCCAGCCCCCAGGTAACATTTTCAAAAGAAAAATGAGTTTTAAAGGTTTGCATGGTCTCACTGGGCAGTGGTGGCCCATGCCTTTAATCCCAGCTCTGGAGAGGCAGACTCGGGTGGATCTCTGTGAGTTCAAGGCCAGCCTGGTCTACAGAGTGAGTTCCGGGACAGGCTCCTAAGCAATACAGAGAAACCCTATCTCGAAAAACCAAAATAAAAAAATAGATAAATAAAAAGAAAGTTTGCATAGTCTTAATATATGACATTCCCAGAAAAAAAAAAAAAAAGGCATTACATTGCGAATGGAAAAGCAGCCATTTCTGCCTGAGCTGTGTTGTGGGATGGTGACTGGGCCTCTTCTTGCCTTTTCAAATCAAAATGCTATAAACTCCATTGACAGTATCAACAAATACTGGAGTCAAAACAAGAGCTAAAACATATACACATAGTGTATACACGTAGGAATCCCACTCACCACATCCACAATGCAACTCAGCATGGAGCTTCTTGAAAAATAAAACCAACAAATGAGAAGTGAGACTGGGTGTGATGGTGCTCTCCTTAATCCATGCATTTGAGAGGCAGGGCCGGGTGGACTTCTATGTGTTGGAGGTATTCTGGTATGCATGAAGGCCTGCAAGTCAGCCAGCGTCAAAAAGTGTTGCTCAGGAATTAGAAATCATCAGAATATTCCGACAGGACAGAACAACTACAAATGTAATGAATGTATAAAGACTTTATCTTTAGGATATATCAGGCAACAAATGCAAAGGCTAGAACACAAATTTAAACATTTTACACAGTCATTGAATTTGAAAAGTTCCTCTAATGTTCCCGCGTTTATGGATGTTTGAGTTTGATATTCATTGAAAACATCGCTGTGGTTTCCAAATCTGTACTGGTTACAGTTTCCTGCAGCGTCACTTGTGTTGTAAAATGAACACTGGGAGGATTCATGAATCATTTTGTCAAGCAGTTTACATTCATGAGACTTCTCTTGTATATTCACATGTTCTCGGATAATATATTTTGAGCTGCGATTCAGGACTTTCTTATATTTAACACACATTTGATTGTTGCCTGAAGACAGAAGTTTCTGTCCTAACCGGTCCCTCAGCCCTTTATTCCCAAATAAAGACACAGAGGCTTATATTATTTATAAACTCTTTCGCAATGTCTCAGGCTTCTTATTGCCTAGTTCTCTCTTAATTATTAGGCCATTCCTATTAAACTGTGTATCTCCATGTGGTCTTAGCTTATCCGAGAATATC